CCCCCCCATCCAGCACCTACCAAAAAAACACAAAAAGCAATCAATTAAAAATATTTTTATGTCAAGTCTGAAATTATATTTGGATATTTTAAAACGTCAGTGTTTCCAATAGGTATATTGTCTACCGGGGAACTCCACTTTCCAGTGTTGCTTATGAAGGACGAGTCTACCGGTAACATTCAAAATTTCTAACATGTTCACCGTGAACATATAAAACCAGGCATAACGTTCTGGGGCTTCTCTTTTGCCAATGGAAATGATTTAGATTCGATTGGAATTTCTGTTATCTATTTTATTTTTGTATATTCAGAATTGTCTATTAAGGATGTTGTTTCGTTCTTTTATTGATAGTATTTCATTTATCACGGTTGCGTTTACATTTGTGCTCGTGTTTCACTTAGATGTTTTTAAATATTGTTTAATATTGTTTTACTAAGTATTCACAGAAACGGTTGTTAAAAAAAACAACAAGCTTTGTAAAAGTTTTGGAAATTAATTTAATATATCATTCACACGACATGTGGAGCTTTATATAGGGGTATTCACAGTTCCCTTTACTGGGCAAGGTGCTTTTGTAAGTTGGGGGTGTTGTCACTTGACTGGATTTACGTAATACCTTGTTTAAACTTATCAAATCGTGTAATGTAAAAAAATATAAATGTATATATCTTAGTTCATCAGACATCTGTCATTATATATAATTAATGGACAAATGATTTAATGCTAGCTCACTGCATGAATACTTGTAAAAATTCAAATACCGCCCAATACTGTCTAGCACTAAAAAAATCCCTGCCAGGCTTGTTTTCAAACTTGAGCTGTATTTTCACTATCCAAAGAAACCTTCTTGTAAGTTTGATGACGACAATTGCAAGTAACAGTATTCAAGGCGACACTAACGGCAACGATAGACGCAGGTGATGCCCAAATGCCCAGATAGATAGCGCCTGTCCATAAAAAGACAGCATATTCTAACTTAACTTTGCTACATCTAATTAGTATTATTAGTATTTGTATTATATATCTTTATTTTTATTGGTTTCAAGTGTTTTGACATATGTATTAACTTGTAGTAGGCTATTGTATAAATATTTTTACTGTTGTTAAGTGTTACAAGTCTATTTTAATTGATGTTATTTTCCACAAGGTCATTCCTCTGGTGCACTTTACGTCAGTGACAAATGAAGTTCAGCATCGCCACTGCAACAATATAATGTAATTTTGACAGACATTTTAAGTTCAGAAAAAAAGATCCAGTTTTATTTTGCACAATCCTTAACTTAACGAACGGAATATATTTTCTGCTATTTTAATTTATCTACGACTATTTGTCCTTCTCAGAAAAAGCACGACAATCACTTCATTTGGTTTTCGGTTTATATTTTATGTTATTGCAAATAAAAGTCGCACAGCTTATAACCGTGTACTTGTGTATTTCCTTTTCTAAAAATTATCTTTGTGTGTGGCTTAGCACAAAAGGCCCGTCTCCACATAAATTTCCAGCATATTTTTGCGAACTTTGATTTTAATTCATTTACTGGTAATGATCTCCGCAAAACGCACACTCGCCATCTCCTAATGTATATTTTGGAATACTTTTCCACTTGAAATTTTCCTTAATAAACTAATTACGGAACGGAGACGGAGTTGGGGGTGAGGCCTAAAACGAGTACGAAACACGAGGCGAGTGTGGGACCGTAGAGGCGGGGGTGGGCTTTGGATGCACGGCATTTTTGGGGCTTTAACCAACAACAACTCCAACGAGACCAAAAAGTTAAAAATTATAGTAATAATAACAGATATTATTAAATCATCCTACAAAGTACATTTTACAATCCTTGGACTAAACCAAGTAAATGCTTGCAATTTTTTTTTTTCATTTGCGAATGAAAATGAAATTTTTGAGCAAGGGGCCGCTAATTACGTAACCTTAAAAACGCCTTTAGATTTTAGCACGGGCTCTTCGTGAAGAAAATTAGGAAAACAAAAACGCTCCATTCAAGCAAAACTCTTCAGCTACGGTAATGACTTCCAAAGGGCAAAACTTTCAGATACATACTTTTATAATCACAAAATCACATTTCTATATAGGATTTGTGGTGTTTTAACTGCATAGAATAGAGCTATAGAATAGCCTCCCTTTAACTCTGTTCCTACCACTCAATACGAATGTTTAAATTTTTAGAAATCTTGACTTTAAAATGTAGTATCTGTAAAATCACAACCCTCCCCCTCCCCCCATTAAAAAGATGGAGTAATGACTGTAATTCATTTAGCCTAAATCTTAAAGTGAAAACCTCATCAATGAACTGGCATACTCTCTTTCCAATATGGACATATTTATTCCATTCCATTCATTATGAAATTCACGCTCACAATATTTTTATATATGCTCAACTATAAACATAACTTCATCAAAATATTATAAAGGTAAATGTAGAATTTTTCTTTGATCACTGTTAGTTATGCATTAAGAACCTGAAAAAATTTGCACTTAAATTTACCTGGAACAGAGCTTCCTTCTTTTGGTCATATTAAAGACAAGATGTATAAAACATTCATTTCATGACAGACCCCGTATACAAAATTGGAAACATGGAGCTCGAGTTCTGAGACTAGATTATAAGTCAGTTATTCATCACAAAAAGTAAACCGTCAGTCAATTTTACAACTAATTACTTGAGCGGACATGATGGCACCATGAAACGCGTAATCAAAACTTGTACTATATCAGTTTTTTGACAACTTTGTTCGCTATAAGAATAAAAGATAAAATATATTCCTCATCACAAAATATTCCACGCAATTCTCTATCCAACTTAAATTTATCTGGAATATACTTCAAGATTGAAGAGAAACATTATCAGCAAAGTACATTTTTTGTAGATTAAATACAATTTAGTACACATAAAAATATATCTGCCATTTTCTGAAACGTTTGATAGAGGGAGATTTCTTATTTGCTGCTACAGTGATTCGCTGTGTGAAAAATATGGGAGATACAATTAAAGGTGTGATGAAAGAGCCACAAGTTGCAAAATCCTGCATCATCAGAGTGCCGCATTAAATATATATACTGATTAGTTGTATGAAAACAAAACTGATAAAAGCAGACATATACAGAAAAATATCAAATTAATTCAACATGATTTCTATGGGAAAAAAATCAATAGCATTCTGTAAATGACACATATATATTATTGACTAGTAATGAAAACTTTTACAAATACATAGAAAAAATGAGTTAATGTCAATTTTCTGATAAAATGGTGGAAGCATGTTTTGCATAATATATATCATTAATGAATCTTCTCTTTATTCTCTTCATTAATAATAAGAAATGGAAGGATTATTTTCAAATAAAGCTATTCGGAAGGACAGAACATGCGAAAGCATGATTAAATAGTGTACTAATATGTACATGAATAAGCAAAAGTTGCGTCAGTAAGAACGGTGCATGTATCACGTCTAGATATACTGGCCAAAAAGAAACGCAATCTTTGGTTTTGACAAAGAGCTTCAAAATGCCCAAATATGCACATGTCAGTCTGGTCACTGTTTTTAGTGCCAGAACACCATCTCAGTCCTGCAGTACTGATACACTTGAGTTGTTCCAGAAGATGGCTAGATGACATGAGCTAAATATTCAGACATCTCATCTGAACACAAATTGGGACAAAAGCCCTGCATAATCAGTTGTCCACAACCAATGCCTGTGGACACTGGCATCCATGTCACGGCTGCCTGATCTGGACAGGGGTCGTGCCTTCGGCCATTGCAATTTCCGCAGTGTTATGGTTTGGGCGGGCATAAATGGCAGTTTCCAAACAGAACTCATGGTGATTGGTGGAAATCTGATTGGCCAGCAAAGATGGCCAGCAAAGATGAAGTCCTAAGAACAGCTTGTGAGGGACTTTTTTACTCCCCCCCCCCCCCCCACCACACACACACACACATGACCCCACACTTCATTGGCTGGGCACTGTGGGCTTTCATCTTGGGATATCGCGATCTTTGAAACTGCTATGGAGATTCCCAGGCTCTAAGCTTTAAACATCGCACACGGAAGAAATGAAACGACTCCATGTTGTAACTTTACCAGGTTATATATTTTGCTAAACTAAAAGTTACATGGTACAATTAAGATTCATTATGAGCTTTAATCCAGACATCCTCCCCTCAATGTTTAAGTTCACAAGTTTTTATGCTAAACTTTATCAATTAAAATGTCAATCAGATAAAGTTTAGCTGATTGGTCTATTCAAATCCAAATCCGCCCACAAGGTGGACACACAAGGGCTTCCTCTAATCCAGTTCTAACGGATTGCTGGGCTTGAAGCATAGGATAGTAAAATTTAAACTTCTAAAGGGTGAAATCTTATCTAAAGCTCCTATTGCATGCTCATTATTCCAATGGGCGAATTTTATCATACACGGTACAAGCACTAAGACAAAGACTAAAATCTTTCAACTTCCAGTTGAATTGAATTAAGAATTAAAAGATTAAAAAATATTAATTACAAATCATTTTCCAATACTGTGACCCCTGGCACATTCGTGAAAAGAAATTCGAAGAGACAAACAATTTAGTTTTAAGTTCGTGCTAAGGAGGCCGCAGAAGTTTTGCGAGTAACTGAAGAGGGTGATAATAAAGAGCAAACCGGAAATCTAGAAGACGCAACATATAAGGGATATGCACTTGTTACCTATTATCACCTTCTCAAGTTTCCCTGCATGATCCCAAACCTTCGTGTATATTGTGCTGAGAGGAGGTTTAAATGTTT